ACAAAACTTTTGCTGGTAGAAGGAGTCCCAGAGACTGAACCCTGTGACTACACACCTCCCATCCCAATACTAAAGAAGCACACAACAGGGTGACATCAAGAGAGCCGATGTCAAAGCAAGGTCAAACTGGCCTATAGACCTGGCTCTCAGGCCCCCAATAATAATCACCTTTCCTCTCAGCAAAGGAAAATAACAGAGAGAGAAAGGACAAAGCCTTTGCTGCCAGAGGAGAGCCCTGGGAAAGACCATCTGGCCCCGTCCTCATCTCAATTCTATTGGCCATGATTGACCAAGGCATCTTCATGATCTCACAGGGCAGATAGCCTACAAGGCCTGTAACAGGATGTGTTTTCATATAGACATTTTAAATGCCCACAAGTCCAGGCCTGTTCCAGTTGCTAATGCTAGTAGATTACTCATTCTTCCTCCCATACACGTCATGTGTGAGATTCCAGGTGGCTGTGGGGTATTTGCTTACAAAGGCTACCACCGGTTTCCTTGCAAGCTATTTATTTTTCCAGCCTCAGGTCATTACATCAGCCCACAGTTTCCAGTTGGGCAAAGAGTATAGACTTGTGGGGGTGGGGATCCAGCCAGGAGGTGCCATTGCCTCCGTGACCCCAAACCCCAGTCATAGCAGCTATCCCTGCAGAAATTTCCTGGGTAGAAAAGCAATCTCAACTGTAACCAGTGGCCCAGGAGCTGGCCTACAAGAAAACCATGCCCAAATGAGAAAGGGCAAGAATACTGCCAACCGATCTATCTGTGACGTGTGTACATGCCTTGAGCACACACAGTCATCCCCGTGCATGAAGAAATGGGAATCTTGTTTCCACTTTGGGTCCCTAATGGTAGTTCTGTCCCCAGGGAACAGAGTGGCTGTAAGGTGCTTCATCTACAGCTGCGCACACGCTGCTACATGGAGGAAAGGGGGGAAAGGCTTTAGGATTGAACGCATGGGGCCGGGTTCTGGGTCCTTGCAGTCCCTGATCACATCATGAAAGACTTGTGTAGGAAAGACGAGAAGAAAGGAAATAAAAAGATATGGATGCAGAGACAAAGACGAGAGGCTATGGGCACTAGCCTGGGCTCCCAGGACAAATGGTAACATGCTGCAGCCCTGGAACATTGCCATGGCACACAAACAGCATGGTGGCCACATCCATGACCCCAGTTCCTGAGAGACGGCACTTTCTCACAAGAGGAAGCACCGTAGAGAAACAAAAAGACAGAAATCATAACGAGACAAAAAGGATGTATACAGTATCTTCATATAGTCAGCGTAGACCCAGGGGGTGAAAATGATTAGACGGAGGCTAATTCTTGTTACTTATCTTATCTCTTTACCTTCTATGAATAGAGTTGGCTTGAGCATATTTTAAATGCCAAGTATTTTAAGAAATGTCTGGATTAAAAAAAAAACCCTCAGCAGTTCACATTTCCTTGAAAAAGCAGCAGAGGCCCTGGCCAGAACTCATCTAGGACACACTGCTCCCAAGGTCTAGGGTGTTAGCTGGCTAGGAACATCATCTTCCCAGATACAGAAAGGATTCCTGGAGCCACGGATGCCTGTGAAGTGAGGTATGAGGGAGGTAGTCAGGGAAGAGGGAACCAGAGAGGCCCATCTGGATATGCTGAACTTGACAAGGACTCAAAAGGCCACAGCAGCCATGTGGACACATGGCAGAGCTTTCCAGAAAGAGTCAGAACCTCCAGGAGGAGAGAAGACTGGATAGCCAGCAGGAGTGTGTGTCATGTTATTGCACAACTTCAGGCGCCCAGTGGAACCATTCCAACATCAACAGTCCCCAGGCCAGAAAACAAACCTGGCGTCACAGGGTCTGAGTGTGAAAAAAGGATGTTTGGGGTGTAAAAGAAGCTGGAATTGCCTTTTTTCCTTCTGGGAGAAGGCTGAGAAGATGAGCTCTCACCCGGGCATAACTCAAGAGTCTGACTCCAACCTCTCCATGCATGTGACTGAAGTTCATCTGAGCCCAGAATCTTCCATCAAATTCGAATGAAAAATGACCTCAGGTGCTTAAGCCTAAGGCTCCAGTCCTCACTAAGAGCCAATGGACCAGACACAAGTTCTCATCAAAGGGTGTCTGACTTGTCACTAACTGAATGTGCCAACGCGCGAGAATGGATAGCACAGCACATAAAGACACTCCACCAAAGCAGCTTCCTTTGGTGTGGTTTGTGTTTAAACCATTTGTGATAAACCTAAGTGCCTAGAATTACAAAAACTGAAGTCTCACAAAATCTTAAGGGCAATAACTTTGCTTCACATATAAGGAACGCAAGAGGAGGAGAAGCTGATTGACTTTCCAAGGCAAGGAAAGTCTGTCTGGGAAACCAGATCTACATGTCCATCTGATTCCAAGCCCATGCTTTGACCAGTATGTGGCTCCTGTGTAAAAGATTCCCTACCCCACTGCCTGGAAATCCAGATTTCAAGATGCTTCCTTGGCAACTGGTTGCAATAGCATGCACAGGATGGTAAAGCTTGAGAAGGATCCTGTGAGATGATGAATCTTGTGAGCGGCCCCAGGAGTTCCTTGGATGACTTACCTGGAACATCATGGAGCCTCTCAGGAGCCACAGCTCCTTCTTCTGCTTGCTCTATGAAGGGGCCAAAAAACTTGAGTGAGACAACCCTGCTCAAGTACCTCCCACTAAAATGCCATGTTCAGATTTTCTCTGTGAAAGATCATAAAGACTCTGGGACAGCTATTCAAGCCTATTTTCATGGGTGAAAATGGTCATAAACAACAGTCTGGCTGTGTGCTAATAAAACTTTATTTACAAAACAGGTGGCCACTTGTTATATGCTAAGTACTCTTGTGGAACCAAGTATTTTATACCTGATTCCATCAATAAGATTAACAGTTATCAGTCAGTATAGCCAGGTAAAAATGACAGAGAATATTCTAGTCTGTTAAGCAATTACTAAAACCAAAGCCTAATAATTTCCTTGATGTGTTTCCTCTAAAGGACAATTAGCTCTCCTGCAACTATCCTGTCCTGTGTACTAACCTTACAGGGTCAGAGTCAACACCTATGGAAAATAAAGGTGGCTGGATTGCTACAAGAGGAAGATAGTTGTACTTGTCTGGAAACAATTTCTCAACATGACCCTATGATCATACAGTAGAAAACTATATAAACCAGTAGGAGTGGGAATCAGAACTTGACCCTATCAGTTTATTACACTCAGATAACACACCTGAGAAAGACATATGTCACTAGCTTCCTCCAGTCTAGCCACAATAAGCACTGTCACTGGTTAAGTATGGTGGCACACATCTGTAATCTTAGCACTCAGAAAGTTGAGGCAAGAAGACTGTAAGTTCCAGACTACCCTGGGTTATATATCAAGGCACTATCCCAAAAATCAAAAGCTGCAGATACAGATCAGTGGTGGAATGTCAGCATAGCAAGCACAGGGTTAAAGCGTGCACACTACCACAAAAAAAAAACCCTCAAATTATTATCACCAGTGTTGGAAATAATAAGTGCATACACCTAACAATTATTCATCTAGCTAGCCATCAGTCAAGAAACACACAGACATTAACTTAGTAAGCCTTTTAAGGGACAGACCATGATTCCATCCTATGGATAAGACCTGAGCCCAGGGAATTCATTTGACTAGAGTCACTCACTGTGTGTTATGCCTAGATTTTGCTGATTCCAAAGCCTGCACTTTAACCGCTGTGCTATTTTACCATACTCTAGCCCAAGGTAGGTCACATGGTCTCTTTTATGTCACCATCCCATACTTTCAGCTTATATGAAATAGTAAGCCAATCACAGGGGAAAACACTGACCATCCCAAGCCATCCAGAAAGTCCACTGTTCACTTCTTTGTCTCATTCCCCAAACTCTAGCCCCCACACTGCCACCTATAGTACAGAGCTGGTACAAGAGTAAAATAGAGGAGTCAATGACAACACACACACACACACACACACACACACACACACACACACACACACAGATCAATGGTCACATAAAACCCTGCCTGTCCATTCAAAGGCAGGAACCCTTTGTTCGTAGTCCTTGCCACTAATAAAAGAAGGATATGACTAAATTAAATTCAGCCAACAAAAGAAATTATGCTAACTGCTAGTTCTCATAATGATGCCTTAAGTGAAAGAATGATCCTCCTGGACAATAACACAGCTCTGGTGTGTCACCACATTTTCCGTTGGTGAATATTTATTCTTTACTGATGGTCAGTGAACTCGGTTGGGTTTGATCTTTGTTGGTGATAAATAATGTTTCAGGTCAATCCTATGAATGTGTTCCCTCTTCAAAATTTATCACCTTTCTACCAAGTCAGTGCCAAAACCTGACCATTCCCAAGACCTCAAAAGATCAAAACAGGAATGGCATGAATGTACACAGTGTGAAAACCTCAAAACAGAGGAATTAAGTCTGTTGGGGATTGAGGTCCAACTTCAGTATGCCCAGCCTCTTCTTTCAAATTCTCCTGCACAGCATTTAGAAAGTCAGTCAAAATAATAAAACGTTTTGACAAATTGTGCCATCCAAACAGATAAACTACTCATAGAAGTTGATCCTGACTATGATAAAAGAAGAAAATAAAAACTAGCGGAGACAGCTCATCAGGTCTGTCTTATCTCATAGCTGAGGAAAATGAAGAGGGTACAAGTTAAATGACTTGCCCCAAACTATACTGTAAAGCTCAGTGGGGTGGAATGGTGAAAGCCCAGGGCTCAGGAGACTGGGGTAGAAAGATCAGCTTGGGCTAAATAATGAGACACTGTCTCAAAAAAGGAGTCAGAAAAGGAGAAGAAAGAAGAGAAGGGAGAGGAGAGAGAGGAGGAAGAAGGGGAAGGGAAGGCAGATGAGAGAGAGAGAAAAGAAAGAAGCAGACAAAAGAAAACAAACCCACACAACGAGTAGTCATGGAACAACTATGGCACCCATGACAGAAAGTTGAATACATACACAATCCAAGGAAGATTGTTTACCTGAATTTCTTATATTGGTGTTATTCAATTTGGAGTCTTTGATTACCAAGTGCTTTATCCATAGGGTAGGAGCTGTGATTTCTAGAAAAAGGGAGAGAGAATGTGTGGCAAAGAGAAGTAAGTGACATGGAGTTAACTCAGACTTGTGATAAGCTTTTTAGAGGACTACACATCAAAGCTTCAGCTATCTCCCTGTTGGCATATTGACCTCATCCCAGTGCCAATGCACTCTCTCTTCCTTGTGATGGAAGTGATTCTCCCCACCAGCTTTAAAGGGACAACCAGGGCATCCTGTGCTGGACATGGAGTAGTCAGAATCCAGAGGCTCCAAGCCACTCCATCAAGGAATAAAAATATTATCCCAGGAGGTGAGGAACATGGGCCAAGCCAAGTCCCTCTCAGCCGCTTCCCTCAGAGAAGATTTAAAGGGGATAAATCAACAAACGAATGCCAAACACACCGCAGAGACCATTTTAGAGGAAACAGCTGAAGCACAGCAGATTTGGCCCGTTGAGTTTCTGCTCCGTGTGGGGGAGAAAGGAGTGAGTCTAACGCGTTTCCAACCCCTTCTCCCAGTCAAACTGAACACATGCCACACACCTTCATCTAGGGCACCCCAGGGGGCCTTCAGGCTCTTGGTACCAGGAGTGCCAAGCAGACTGAAGGTGTGGGAGTCCTGTGGGGTCACCTTGAACATACCAAGCAGCAACCAGATCTTTGACAGCAGCAGGATGGTTTCCCCGGATGTCACCCAATCCTCTAGGACTGGGATCCAGGGGGATGTTTGTAGATTCTTAACCTTTCAGCTCATTGAGCTGAGCCTATACTAGGAGCAGCCCCAGCTGTGGGGCCATGGCATGATTTGGTTTTATTTCTCTATTCCACAGTCTCATCATCAAGATACAGTCAGCTGAGCACTGCCTGAGCACTGCCTGAGTCTATGTCATATACTGAAAGCTGAACTTCATCATCGCACTCTCTGAAAACCTTATTCTGCCAAACTTCCTGTTCCTGTTCATAGGAATCTGGAGCACAAGTCCCTGCAGAACAGAAGCCCAAGGATCCCCCACCTTGAACAGGGGCCAGGCTTCTGCACCCCAGCTCCTCCAATCCACTGTCCTTGTCTCCAGGGGTTCCCGGCCTTTATTTGGTCACCATCCACTATTGCCCTTGACCTAGAATGTTTCTCCCAAATGTCTTAATTCAACTCCCTAAATCCCTATTCCCTAGCCCAGCCAGCCCCGCTTGCCAATCTCTTTCTCTTACTTCCCTAATGGTGATCCATACCCATCACCTTTCCCTCCTTGTCCCTGGACAGTCCTCACTGTCTGGAATACCCCTATTCCTTCCTTCTACTTGCAAAATCCAGCTCAAGTCCCTTGTCTTTCCAACTCTTCCCAGAACAATGCCAACTTTCCCCATAAGCATCTATCGCGATGATAGGACCAGGACCTAGAACTCAGTTCATGAAGCTCTCTAGTTGTTGCAGTGAGAGGAAGACTGGCAGTCAGATACTTCCTTCTCATCCCTCCCCCACCCCCAGCACCTCTGTGCCACTCTAGGCACAGAGTAGACAGTTACAAGTGTCGAGTCACATGCTGCTGAAGATTGACGACCTTCGCCAGCCTTTCTCACCATGGCTCCCTAGTCTTGGCAGCTTGGAGGGTCTGTCTAAACCATGTTTTGTTGGACATTGGGCTACAGGCAGGAACCCTGGGAAGAAGAGAGGACCATTCCAGAAGAAGACAGTTGCCACCAGTCACTTGGAGGCTTCACATTTTTTTAAAAGGTTGAGATAAACCAGCTTGTGCTGGGAAAGAAATTGAAATTAAAAAATAAAAAAATAGTCATGGAACTTAAACAATTCTGAAGTTTAAAAATAAAAAATAATAACAGTGAAACAGACAAACATATAAAGCTACAATCTTGCCCAGCTCTGAACATGAGTGGAGAAGAGTAAGGGAGGAAAGTAAAATGGTATCTTACCATCTCCGTCGAATACAGGCTGGGTCTCCATCGTGGGTGTGGGCTTAGAGCCATCATCTGAATTGAGGGTTAAAAAGAAACGAAAAGAGACTACCATTATTGAGGTAAATACTATCTACTCTCCAGAACTGTTGAATGGTTGGGTTTGTACAAGGTCAGAGAAAAAGGAAGACGGGAGAGGCCGAGGAAGGAAGCAGGGCCAGAGAGAGACAAGAAAGCAAATCCGTGTGTGCGTGCTCATCGCAGGGGCTCACAAGGAGCTGGAACTCAGGGCAATGGAGGCTCCATTCTCATAAGTCTGAGGATTCTGGAGGACTCTTCCGGCCAACCGCACCCCTCCCCCAGCAGCCCTGAGCTTGGTCTGGGTGAGTTAACACTGGCAGCCTGTGGAATGAAAGCCTGGCTACTCCACTTGAACCCCCCATCCTCCAGCACAAGGCAAGCAGTTCAGAACCTTTTCCTAATGGCCTTGGTTTAAAAGCTTAGACCAGGGTGCTACTCCCTTCTAGACTCCTAGCTGCCTCTCAACCCTTGCCTTGAATAGAGGAGATATAAAACACTGCTCTGTCCCATACATTAGAGAGACTCAACAGCATCCCACTGAAGGATCACACTGTGAAGCAGCACACACCGAAATTCCCAGCAGCATGTTGGTGAACAGGATGCAAAAGAACCCGGAAAATTGCTGAGATCACCCAGGCCTCACTGTGATATTCCTATCACAGATGATGGGAGCAGGGTCCTCCCAGTAGCGAAGGCCCAGTGCTTATCGCTCAGTATCCTTGGCAGCTCTTTCTGCAGAGCAAGAAGCTCCATATGTCAAGAGTTAGCGGAGACTTTGTTTATTTACCTGCCAGGACTCTGCTTTTATCAAGGCCCCCAAACCCTCAGCTAAGAAAAGTGTTTTGCAACCATTTTCATTATTGCCCATTCAAGGAGTACTTTTAGACCATTTTCTCCAATCACCTCCTAAGAAAATATTAGTGGATAGAAGATAACAAACAGTCCTGTACTGTGTACACCATTTGTACTATATATGTAAAAAGTGTATGTTTCTCAATCCCTAAGAAGCCACTATTCCACCCCCCTGAGTAAAGGAGGAGGGGGTTATCTTTATCTTCAGAATAGTTTAGAGACTTTTCTTTGTTTTCTCCCTCAGTAGGAGGAGAAAGGTTGGGAACTATTGTTTCAGCCAGTTTGATGATTACACCATGCTCTCCTACCAAGACCCCCCAGAGATCATTTAGAACAGAACACTATGTTCCCTGGGCATTAACTATTTATAGAGAAGCCTCGCTCTCTGATTATCCATGAAACACCAGTCCGACCATCAATAACAACAGTGCCCTACCATCTGCAACTCTGGTACCTACCTCCCTGATCTCCCTGCATCTTATCAGGGGAAGGAAAGAGAGGAATTCGGATCTCTTGCTGGTGTCAACCCTTGAATACCCACACCCTCTCTGGAGACTGAGGCCAGCAATCTGACAGTGCCGGGGCACCTGTCCCTGGTATCACTGTCATCGGCTGACACCAAGACCCAACTCTCACTGGGACCAAAGCAATCCCGGACTATCTGACAACCATCCCAAGGAACAGTAGAAAGCGAGGCTTCAGTACACTACACTGGATATCTTATTTGCCTCAAACTGAATCCCCTAATGGGTATCTTTTGATGGCAAACCATGTGAGCTTGATCAGGAAGTCACTGAGGGAGAATAAACACCAAACAGAGCCACACAGTGTCATTTTTTTAAAATAGTACCACTTCCCCCAACTCTATTAACACCTCTCTCCATTGAATTCAACAAGTCACTGAATGGAGTCCCCAGTAGCCGCAGTGCACATTTGTCTGGTCACTTCTCCAGATGCAGAGTTGAGTGTGAATAGTTCAAGACAGTGCACTCAGCCCCCTCCTCACAGGGTGGCTCCTCTTTAAGAGCCTCGAGAGCTAACAAAGGAAAAGCAGGAGGTCAGAAGACAACAGTGAGAGTCCATATCCAACAGCTTATGAAATATTTTATATTTCTGTAGGCATTAAAATGTCTACACGAGAGCTACCTCTCTATCTGGACTAAAAATCGCCTGCCTCCTTCTCCGGGCACCCAAATGAAAGCCTTGGTCTGGCCACCTGGTCTAGTCATCAGCAGAGAAGGTCTGCAGAGAGTAAGGAGGGCTTCCCAGGGAGGGTCTGCACATCTGCTGGTCGGGGACCTCAGACCTGGGCATGGAAGCCCACAGAGCTTGAAGCTGAGGCAGGGGGTTGAGTCTTCCTGCTGGATAGGGTCACTGAGGGTGAAGAGGTCCAGCTGCTCTGTGCAGGGAGGATGGAAAGCTTTATGGAGTGAGAAAAGTCAAGGTTCCCTGCTGCCAGGAACCACCTGTGAAATGCAGCACACCCCAAATCCAGGAAGTCATGCCAAATCCAACAGAACCCTCCAACCATCATCTCCGGGCACCTGGGCACCTGGCTTCTGACACACCAAATAAGCACAATTTTTTTTTTTTAGTAAACATAGGTCCAAGGCTTGGGTCCAAAGTTCACAGCCATCCTGCTTCCTGGCAATCCTTGGAGAAGCACCAGGCCCCATACTGGGTCCTGGATTTCTACGTGTGCCCTTGGCTTCCAAATCCCTAGTGGAACCTCACACTAACCCTTGTTTACATCCATGCGCTGCCTAACCTAAACATCTCACTTTGTCTAGGCAGCAACATCATCGGCTAACCCTGGAAGATGCCTGCCTACTAAGCTTCAGGACACTGGCACTCTGCAGGCATGAATGATCCTAAAATACTGTTAAAGGAGCTATTCAACTCTGAGTATTAACCATCTTATTTCAATTACTTACTTTTAATACTGGATTTATGAAATTAAGATCCTATCAAAGTTTTTTAATTAGATAAACCTTACAGTTCAATAAGATGACAACTTTATTTTAAAACTTGGAAGAATATTTTAATAAACATTACGCATGTTCGTACACACGCACGCGCGCACACACCCACACATACACAAACACATAGAGATGAGCAATAAACACACTAATCATGTTCAGTGTCATTCATCATTAGGAGGTACAAATTTACACAGTGAAGGTACTTGCCTGTAATCCCAGCATTTGTAAAGCAGAGGCAGGAGAATTACCACATGTTCAAGGCCAGCCTGTGATAGATAGTGAATTTCGGACCAGTCAAGGCTACACTACAAGTTCCTGTCTCAAACAAACAAACCATTAAACCCCACAAGTTATCACTAAGTACCCACAAGGATAGCTAAAATAGAAGACAGATAATAACAAGTGTTGGCAATGTGGAGAAAATAGAACCCTTTGTTCACTGTTGGTGGAAATACACAACTGGACAGCCACTTTGAAGAATAAATTTGGCAATTTCTTTAAAAAATCTAAACACAAATTAAATTTTCAACTCCCAAATTCCACTTCTAGAAATTTATGAAAGAGAAATATTCTAGGAAAGACATGTACACAATTGCAGCAGCATTACTCAAATATAGAAGCTTCTAATTTGGGTTTGTTTGTTTGTTTGTTTGTTTGTTTGTTGGGAGAGGAAAGCACATGTGTGCTATGGTCCCTGAGTAAAAGTCACAAAACAACTGAAAGGAAGTCTATTCTCTCCTTCTACCATGTGAGTCCAGGAATTGAACTTGGGTTGTAGATTTGGTGGCAAGCCCCTTTATTCATTGAGCCATCTCACTGACTCAAAAAGCCTCTAAGTTTTAAGTAATCCAAATGTCTACCAACTGTAGGCATATAAATTATTATATGCCCATATAAAGGAATACTATTCAACCATAGAGAGGAATAACTAAAACATGAAAATATACACCACACCTGAAGGTCTTCAAAAACATAGTAAATGGGAAATGAGATGTAACTGTTGCCTGTGTTAGGACACATTTAGACAGCACAGATTTATAAAAGCAGATGCCTTGAGAAGGCAAGCAGCTCCATGGATATGCTGAGTCTGGGCTCGGGAAAGGGTAAAACAATAAACAAGCTAAAGGTTCTACAGGGAAGTGATGGAAATTGTCTCTGGTAATAGTTGAGTGACTCTAGAAATTTGCTAAATTCATTGGATTTTACCCTTAGAATGAGTGGGGTGCTTATAGTTTGTTTGTTTTTCTGGTAAGTTACATTTCAATAAAAGCTCTTTGAGCCAAAAATGAGGGAGTATCAGAGTCACTAGGGAAAAATCACCCAGTGGAAGCAGCTAGTTATTACAGCAGTGGTTAAATTGAAGGAGAGAATTCGTCCATATATTTTAAAAGATAAGTATATCCAAATCTCTGATTCTTTGTGTGTGTGTGATAATTTCATGCTTGGGGCTTACTCTGGGTGGTTTTTTTTATTCATTAACTCATTTATTTATTTAAATAATAATCTTTTTTTCCTTTCTTTCTTCTTTTTTTTAATTTAAGTTAGAAACAAGCTTGTTTCACATGTCAATCCCAATCTGGGTGATTTTTTTTGAACTTCAAATAGACTTTATTTCTCCTTGATATCAAAATACTCTTCCAGACTAAGGAAGAGAGAGAGAGGCAGAGACAGACAGACAGACAGACAGACAGAGAGAAAGACAGAAAGAGAGAAAATGGTGTTTCAAATAGAGGAGGGTATCAAACATAATTATTCTTATAGGGAGAATGAAAAATACAAATTTGAAAATAAACAAATAAGACAAATGAGAAAATTTCTCAAAGGTAATGTTAAGATCAGCAATCACAATCCCATTACCATATTTTGCAATGCTCAGTTTCTGGCAGGTGGCTTCCCTCCTCCTATCTGCTCCATCAGCCAGGGAGGAGGAAGCCATCAGGCAGATGAAAGGGGAAGTGAGTTTTGGTGTGAGCCAGGCCTTGGAGCCAGAGAGCAGCTTTGGAAACTTCCCAGCCCCAGAGTGGCTGCATTTGGCCTTCCAAGGTTGCCCAGCCCCCATTCATGCCTCATCCCTGCAGGTGCGGCCCCTGCATGGACTGTGGGAGCCTATAAAGACAGTGGGTGTGTGTGACAGCACAATTCCTTCCCTGCGAGAAGGCATGGCCCACGCACAGACAGCTGGAAGTCACTTCG